TGCCTGAATGGTGCACGGGATCCAGCATCTTCAAAGCACTTTGAGTCGTAGACTGGTAAACAATGGCCCCATAATCTAAGCGGGTGCGAATGAGGCTTCTATACAGGTTCATGAGGCATTTCCTGTCACTACCCCACGTAGTACGTGACAACACTTTTATAACATTCATGGCTTTTAAACATTTTGTTTTTAAATACTTTATGTGTGGTACGAAGGTCAACTTGTTGTCCAAGATTAAGCCTAAAAATTTATGCTCCGCATTCACAGACAGACGTTGGCCGTTCAGTTCAATGTCAGGTTCCGAGTGCATGCCTCTCTTTCGAGAGAACAAGACACACATGCTTTTTCCTGGGTTCAACCGGAATCCGTTTTCCTCTGCCCATTTGGAGACCTTGTTTAAACCTAACTGAACCTGCCGCTCACACATGGCCAAGTTGCATGACTTGAAGCCAAGCTGAACGTCGTCGACATATGTACAATAGAACATATTGCGGGGAATGGACAAGTGCAAAGAATTCATTTTAATAATAAAAAGTGTGCAACTAAGCACACCACCTTGCGGCACGCCCGTTTCTTGCACAAATGTTTGGGAGAGCACACTGCCCAGACGGACACGGAATGTCCGGTTTGACAGGTAACTTTCGATTATGGAAAACATTCTTCCGCGCACACCAAGGTGGGACAGGTCTCTTAGAATTCCGAAACGCCATGTTGTGTCGTAGGCCTTTTCGATATCGAGGAACACAGAGAGGAAGTATTGTTTGTGGACGAAGGCGTCTCTGATCTGTGCCTCGATACGCACCAGATGGTCTGTGGTGGATCTACTTTCTCGGAACCCGCACTGAAATGGGTCGAGCAAATTATTTGTTTCAAGAAAATGTACAAGTCGGCAGTTTATCATTTTTTCGAAGACTTTGCACAAGCAGCTTGTAAGTGCTATAGGCCTATAACTCGAGGGTAAAGAAGGGTCCTTGCCCTGTTTCAAAATAGGGATAACAATAGCCTCTTTCCAGGAAGCAGGGATGGTGCCTGAAAGCCAGATAGTATTGTATAGAGAGAGTAAAGTTTTTCGCGTTTCGAGCGGCAGGTTTTTCAACATTTCATATGTGACACGGTCGTAGCCTGGAGCGGAATTATTGCAAGAGTTTAGCGATGTTTGTAGCTCAGCTGAGTTGAAAGGTTGGTTGTATTCCTCGTAATTTGTGCACTTGGATTCTAGTTTCTGCTTTTCTATCTTTGCTTTGTGTCTTTGGAAAGCTTCAGTGTAGTGTGACGAGCTAGACACCTGCTCGTAGTGTGCACCGAGGAAGTTCGCTTGATCTTCCAGGCTATCACCCTGTGTGTTTACGAGTGGGAGTGAGTGTACTTGTCTTCCTGCTACCCTACGAACCATGTTCCAGACTTTAGCCTCTTGTGTATATGAATTTATCCCTGATAAAAACTTGTGCCAGCTTTCTTTTCTGGCCTGCCGACACGTTCTCCTGCCTCGAGATTTTATTTTCTTAAACCTCTCAAGGTTTTCTGCTGTCGGCGAGTTCCGCAGCAACCTCCATGCCCTGTTCTGTTCCTTTCGCGCATTCTGACACTCAGTGTTCCACCACGGAACGTGTCGTTTGCTGGGCAGTCCAGATGTTTGTGGAATGCACTTGGTTGCTGCGTCAGTAAGAAAAGCTGTGAAGTACTGCACAGCTTCATCTATGCCTAACCCGCAGATGTCAGTCCAATTTAGGTGAGTAAGCTTTTGAAATTGTTCCCAGTTGGCTTTGTTTACCAGCCATTTGGGAACATGTGGAGGACATTCATTTATTATTGGTGTACTCAAAACTAAAGGGAAATGGTCACTTCCGTATGGATTATTTATGACTTTCCACTGAAGTAATGGTACAAGTGAAGGAGATGCGATACTGAGGTCTATGGAAGAGTAAGTTTTGTTGGCAAGGTTATAGTATGTTGCCTCTTTCCTATTCAACAGACAAGCACCCGATGAAATGAGGAATTGTTCAATGAGGCGACCTCGGGCATCACAGCGAGAGTCAGCCCACAGACCATTATGTGCGTTCAGGTCCCCAAGGACCAGATATGGTTCAGGTAGTTCGTCTATTAAAGACTGGAATTGAAGTTTTTCAAGACGGTGGTGAGGAGGTATGTACAAAGAGCAGACAGTGACAAGTTTGTTTAGAATAACTGCTCGGACAGCCACCGCCTCGAGGAAAGTTTGAAGGGGTAATTGTGTGCATGCTATACCTTGACTTACTATAACCGCTACACCACCGGATGGTGGCATGGCATCATCTCTATCCTTTCGGAAGATTATGTAGTTACGTAAAAAGTTTGTGTTAGTTCGTTTTAAGTGTGTCTCTTGTACACACAGCACTCTTGGATTGTATTCATGGAGGAGTTCTTGTAAGTCATCGAGGTTTCGAAGAAGGCCTCGGATGTTCCACTGTAATATTTCTGTCTGCATATTTAAACAAAAGAGATGCTGCTGTGTGTACAAAGAGTATCCTGTGTTGGAGTGAGCTCGTTAATTCAGGTGGCAGGACGGTCGTCTGGCCCCGTTATTGGTTTTTTATTTTTCTTGGCACGCTCCAAGGAGGCGCGCCGCTCTTTTGGTACCAAGGGTACCGTTGTATCCATTGCCTCCTCAGAGGCACTGGATGCCCGCACATGCGAGCTGGTGGTTCGGATTTTAGGCCTCGCCTGGTGAGGGGAGGCCTTGAGACCGGAAGACCCTGGAGTCTCCGACCTCAATTTGCTTGAAGGCAGAGTAGACTGAACTACTGCCGCCTTGGAAGCAGGCGCCACAGCCGATGGCTCGCTCTGTGCTGGCCGAAGGGATGGCGAGGGCTGGTGCGGCGTTGCCCCCTGACGCGCCGCATCAGCATATGTTGCGCCGTAAAATGGCGACACTCTTCGTCTTGCTTCTTTGAATGTGATGTTTTCTTTGACTTTAAGAGTGATGATTTCTTTTTCTTTCTTCCAGTTAGGACACGAACGCGAATACGCGGCGTGTTCCCCGTCACAATTCACGCAGTGGGGCGTAGTAACACAGTTATCAGATGGGTGGCCGTGGCTACCACATCTTGCACAAGTTTCCTGACCCCGGCAGTTCTGCGAGCCATGACCAAATCGTTGACATTTATAACACCGTCTTGGATTGGGAATGTAGGGACGGACAGATAGTTTGATGTAGCCTGTGTCTATAGATGAAGGTAGTGTGCTAGATGCGAAGGTGAGTATTAAATGTTTGGTAGGTATTTCTTTGTTGTCTCGTCTGATGACGATTCTTTTCACATCTGTGACATTTTGCTCTTTCCACCCTTCAAGCAGTTCCTGTTCAGACATTTCAAGAAGGTCTGCTTCTGAAACAACTCCGCGTGAGGTGTTCATTGATCTGTGAGGTGAAACAGATACTGGGATATTACCAAATGCTACGAGACTGCCAAGTTTTTCATAGTGGTGTTTTTCAGGCAGCTCAAGGAGAAGGTCTCCGCTAGCCATCTTTGTAACCTTGTATCCTGGGCCAAAGACTTCAGTCAGAGATTTAGCAACAAGAAATGGAGATATGGCTCTGGCTTGTTTTGTTGGGTTTTCGCTGTGCACAACATGGAATTTGGGAAAGCATTGTCTGGGTTGGCTGAAAATTGATATGTCATCGGTGCGTCCCCTCTTAGGCGGAAGACGATCTAGGAGACGGGGAAATGCAGGTGTTCCCATAGTAGTGTACTTTTTTTCGGCAGCAATGGCGACCACCCACCATGGAGTCCAACCAGGGGACGCTGAAGCACTTAATAGCATAAGGCTGCAGACGCCAGCCGTACATTGCCACTATAACCAAATATAACTACTCAAGGTTGAGTAATTACACAAGGTTAACCCTTGCCGCCAGGAAAAATCGGAAGTAAATGGAAGGGAGAAGAAGACAGGACAGATTTAAAGACGAGAAAAGACTAAGATGTAGGAAGAGAGAGATAGGAAAAGGCGACTGCCGATTTGCCCTGGGTGGGTCAGCCCAGGGGTGCCGTCTACGTGAAGCCGGGGCCAAAGGGGTGTGTTGCCTCTGCCGGGGGGCCTTAAAGGTCCAATCACCCAGCATTGGCTCAACCCCCAGGATCCCCTTTTCCCCGGACACGGCAAAGCCACGCACGGCTAGGCGTGGGAGGGAGCCGAAACTCCCTCGTTAGCTCGGGTCCGTGGTGTCGCTACACACCAAACGCCTACTTGCGCAGGCGCCCCTGCGGGGTGGTTTGCGTGAGCAATTGACTTTGCCGCGCTACTGACACCCTTGGTAATCTATTACTTCCCTGACCTGACCACGATGCAGCAAGTTATGACAACATTATAGCCGCCATTTTCCTTTTGTATCGTTTTCTCCAGTAGACTAACTTGACAGGTGCTCACGAGTCCGTGGCGCATGAGTTGAAAGTTTTTGTGTTTAATGACAGTGCTGTCCCGTGGCCTGTTAGAAAAATCTTGATGCGAACCCCGCAGAAGTGCATCACTGTTGTATGTACTGATACGGTCAAGCTTTGCACCCACTAGGTGAAATAGTAGCAAATGGTGGCTTGTCACTTTTGAAACTGTAACTGCCACTGGTCGGTAATAACGACTCTATCATTAATTATCTGTAATGCCCTGATGAAAATGATGTGTCATGTTATGACTAACAGGCCGCAAGTAACGCCTCGCTGCAAAAATACGCGAGGTCAAAATTTTTGTGCCAGTACCTCTTTATATAACATATTTATCTAATGAAAAAAAGAAGTTTTTTTCGTCCCTTTAGGTTTCCCCTATTTCTTTATGTAAGTCTTTTTTTCCCTCCTTCTGCCTAAGTAATTTTCTTCATGTCACTCCCTATTCTTCACCTTTCTGTCCACCACATGCAGACAATTCACTTGTACTTTAGACACACCGCTTGAAGCCTGTTAAATTCTATTGCAAAAAAAAATGAAGTAAAATGCTTTCAACACCAGCGTTCCAATGAATTGAGCAGTACTCACCGCAAGTAGCCAGCAGGCAACATACTTGTGCAATGTGACCACCTGCCACATCCCCATGAGTATGAGCCGCATGGCTGGACTGTGGGCCTGAAAACAAGACCCCATGTCACTGCACTGCACACCAACAGTTCTACTACTACCACAAAATTCACAGCTCTCTAATAATTTCACCTTTCCACACTGTTCCAGGAAAGCAACTCAATCATATCATGCACCCTGTGCACAGGCTTGCTTTAATTCCATCGAAACTTACCAGCAGCTTGATTCACTAAGCATTTACACCTAACACTTGGGACACTCATGACAATTTCTAGGCTCTCAGGAGCAGAAGCACGGCTTTCAAGATCTGCATCACAAGATAGTGCCTATCAAGAGGTAGTACCAGGTTTACTCGAGTGTAATGAAACTTTTTTCGTACAAATTTTAGCTACCCAATGTCGACCCTCGCGTGGCAATCGAATACCGGAATAACTACTTTTTTTTTCTGGATGCAATGAATAACCACTGCTCGAATTACAATGGTAGTTTTGCTACAACCGAGCAAGTACGGTAAGCAAAAATAAGGCCTCCGAAATATATGTTTATTACTTAAGAGCTGTCTCATTGGTGCAGTCCGACCATGCTGCTGTCATGTTTCATGTTTGCGAGCCGTCATTGTGATGCACTGTGCCACAAACAAGAGCAACATGACTACGAAAAATACTTCACTGCCACCATCTTAAATTTTGAAGCCATTCTGGGCTGGTGCCCAGGGTTGCAAGCGGGCTTCAGTTTTTCGGAGCAGCTCAGGGAGCAGGAATAATGTGGTTTTGGAGCAGTTTTAGGGTGGTACAAGGGGAGTTTTGGAGCAGCTTTCAGGTGTGAAACAGGGTTACACAGCTTTGGAAGCGGTCCTGGGAGCAGGCCAAAGTGCCTTTTTGTTGCAGCTTTTAAGCAGCCAGAAAGAGGTTTTGCAGCAGGCTTCCAGAAGCCAGGAAGGCTTTTTTGACCAACCTTAGAGCAGTAATACACTCAAAGCAGATGTAGTCCTTTCAAAGCACTTGTGATGCAACATTTGTTCAATGCTGCATTTTTCAAACACTAAGCTAAATTGTGCAATAGCCTTATCAACAGAAATTATATGGACACTCTCGACGTATCTTTACTGCTGTCGTCGTGTCTTGTATCAATTCCAAATTTTCCAAATCGATAACATACCTCCATGTATCATATGTTCTATCTGCAGGTAAAAGCGCGCGAGCGGGGGCGAGAAACGTGGCTGAAGCAGAGATCAAACAATGCGGCTTACTTACGTCACTCGAAGAGTGCGTACAATAACATCACCCCACCCAGAAGGCTCGTAGTCGAAGCAGAGAGAAAGCGTTCCATCCATCGTGAAAAAGCATGAAAATAACTGAGGAAGGGGAGGCCAGGCGTCGCTCGGGCAACAACTATGAACCATGAACTTTGCTTCTAAGGACATGGCGGTAATCGTTAGCACACGCGCGAGCTCAGTAGCTGTCAGCGGGCGGCTCGCATCTACTTCTATGTGGTGCACTCTCATCGCAAAAAGACTGCGAAAAATGTTCTTCTCCTTGAAGAGGTCGTATTCTCATACACCAGCCTTACGTACAGCTACATGAGATTACATAAAAATAGTCACAGCTTTGCCGCAAAGAAGAAGCAATGAACACGATAGCAACAAATCGGAAAGTCACGCGCAGAGTGGCAAGCACGAAATGTACTCACAGGTACAGATGAACGCGAATAAGCATCTAAGTTGTTACTTCCCTGTATCTGAAAAGCGCGCTCTTTTTGCAAAAGGAGACTGTGCAACGACTGCAGTGACCTTTGTGCGCCCGGTAACTACAACAGAATCGTTCCGGTGACAGCCAAACGCCAGCCAAGACGTGCGATCCTCCCCACCGTGAGATAACGGCGTGTGAGTGAGCATCTACCTCTCCTCTCCGCGAGGGTATGCGTGGGAGATGAGAGCGCGCGCTGCCGCGTCGTGCCTTGGTCGTGACGATGTGGCGACAGGCGCTCATTGCACCACCTTCCTGGTAAAGTTGAAAACACGATAGTACCCCCCCCCCTTTCCCTCCAAGATGCCCATCAGCAGCGGTAAGTGGTAGATATAAATAGCTTGCCATTTGAACGTTCAAGCACATGGTTCTCCGTGGCTCAGTGGTTAACGCCCCGCACTCCCGTTCCATAGGTTCAACAATCAATTCCGCGCGCCGGAGTCTTTTTCTAGATTTTTCCTTTCTTGCGTGTTCATATATATTACAAGCGCAATATTCACAGCATTTGACCTTCATCTTCTTCACCTGTATATAATCATCATCACGGTGAACGCCGTCTTTGTTCAAAGCGTTGATCGAGCGATGTCTCCTGATAAACGCCTTCTCGAGCCCAACGCTGCTTTCAATTGCCAGGTTCTCTCCGACGTCACGTTCCCCTGGAACTCCGTTTGGGTCTCCGCTTGCTCCACCCATCCGCTGTCATGACCCAAGAACCGCTGCCCAGATAATCGAGTGCCCCTGCCCAACAAAGCATTTTTGCCTGGATCGTCAATGCCCGGCAACGCGACCCCCCCCCCCCCCCCCCATCTTCTCCGGTCTTTCGTGCAGTCTTCGGTCTTCAATAGCAACAGACGCTCCAACTACATTTGCTTTGGTCAATGCCACCAGCACGGATCCGACTCCGATGCAAGCAGATGAACTACTGGCGCTGTTGTCAAAGCATAAATCTTTCTTCAACGTACATTCCACCGCTTTAAGCCAGACTTCTGCAGCAGCTCATCACATAATAGCTCATCACACCGACGCTGGTGGCAATATCCCGCCGAGAGTGTCCATATAATTACTATTGCAATAAAAAAGTTAGCTGAAAGCCTCACTTCCTTTAAAAGAGCCCTGTGACACTTTAGAAGCAGCCTTATTTAGCAACGAAACACAAGTAGCAACGGTCACTGAGACAAATACAACAATAATTATGTAAATTGGTGCATGGAAAGTGAAGTTATGAGTCCTCAAAGTTCAAAACTCGAGCTGACGACGACAAGAAACGTTCTATTTCACATTTCACTCGCCTGGTGATGTCGAAGACCACTTTTAATCACAGCGCGCGTCTCACAAAGACATTCCGGAAATGTCACCTAATGGTGACCTTCACACAATACCTCGATACCGCTCTTTTCAACGGCATCGTTAGCGTAGTTACTACGAACCACGTGCGTCGGCTGGCAGACGCTCCCACAGTCACATTGTGTAAGATACGCACATACACTTTGGGCGGGGCCATTTCTCGACTTGCTTGCGAGCCGCCCTCTGCAGCAAAGTAGGCGCCCACATCCTGTCTCATTTGTGGCTCGCTAAAAACGCGACATGTGTTTCCACCTCTGGTTGCTTACGTACCATATCTACGTTTACAGGCTAAGTGTTGTGTTCGTTGTTCTGAAAATACATCCTTTAAAAAGTGGAATGAATTCCTTCTGAGAAAGTGTAAAAAGGGTTTTTGCTGTTTTAACATTCACTCGTATGGCCTAGCTACCACCATATAAATATTGCACGTCATTTGTCGCGTCAAGCCAATGAAAACCGAACGGTCGTTATCACGCCACATGACATGTCGTCACTTCCCATAACAAAAACAGCCGATGTGTGTAGCCGTAGTCTGAAAACAAAGTAATTTGTCCCATGAATTAAAATTATAACAGCGTCAATCTCGGCATTGCCATTTGCGCAACGTAGTCGGCACATTCCACAGCACTAGAAGAACTGGCATGCTCAAATAGTGTCGCAAGGCCCCTTTAGCAATAAAATTTCCTGCCATCGCTTTCAAGTGACTCGGCAATCTCGCTGTAATGTTTGCACTCCCTTCCTTCTTTGCTAGTGCACAATGGCATGCGAGCCTGCAAGCATGGCCTTCGAGATCCTTGTGACCTATATTTAGTGTTTTTGGTTTTTTAAATGCATGTCTCGGAGGCAACGCTTTTTGTAGCTTTTCCCATCAAAGCTGCTGAAAGCAGCTGCTGCCAGCTGCAAAGCCACGCGTGACATCGATATCACCAACATGTCGGCTGTGAGAACTCTGCGTTGTTATGGTAGCATTGTCTTGTTGTCTTTTGCGCATTGAGGACTTGTCTACTTCTCGCCTTGTCTTTGATAAATCCCCATTCGGGAGTTGCACAGAACATTTAGCCGCACATAGCGAAAAAAAATTATGGATGGAGCGACATCAAGTAAAGTACTATCGTAAACAGTGTAGCCATAAACTTTTTTTGCAGGACCCGGGCGGGCCAAGTGACGACTTCAGGTGCGGCATGACCGCTGACAAGGCAGTACAGTGCCTCAGTGAATTCTGCCACTTATCATCGCTTGCGGGCACCATCTTCATCGGTGCAGATGACAATGTAGCTATTTCTGACTGCGTCGATGCTGAAATCATGACTGCCATTGCCGCTGCCACGAAAGTGTACCTGTGCGGTTATGCATATGCCAAAGCCTTCGCTGCCGCCGCTAACCAGCCTTTTGCTGCGCTACAAGCTTGCATCAACGTTCTGCATTAATCAACGCTGTTGTTATCGAAGGTGCTGAATTCGCTTATTTGAAAAGCTTCAATGATGTTGTGGATGACTTCAACTTGACGGACTGATTTCATTCGTAACAAAATGTGGTAACTTGCCGTTCACACTTTGTTCTTCATTATACTGTGAGTGAATCATTATGAAAGCACTTGTAACGATTTCTGAGGCCTGAAGTGCTTTAATTTAGGCCTTAAATATGTATATTTTGTATTTCGAATCATCAATATATCGAACTATTTTGCAATCCTCTTTGAGTTCGATATATCCGGGATCAACTATGTATATATTGCCACATTCCTTCTTCAAGTTTTATCGCACCGTTACACTGTATGTAATTCTCAGCGCCTGCAGTGTTCGAGACACTTCGGGACTGTAGTAGATAATTGCGTTGAGATCAAGTCCACTTAGCTAACATTATAGATTAATCTGAAACCAGCGTGGCCGTTAGCGATAACGCTACAATATTCGGCGACTCGTGTATAAATCTCGACACCAACTGCCTGTCTCGTGCCCACTA